CCTACTTCTTCAATCACTGAAACCAACACTCTATTGCTTGCAGGAGCACATTTAGTCAGCGAAAGACTTGGTGAAAAACCTGCAAATAAGAATGCAGAGAAGCGGAAAACTCCGCTATGGAAAAGAAGAATCGAAGATAAGATTACCCAGGTGAGGAAAGACATCTCTTATCTTGAGGAGAAGAAGAAAGGTATTACCCTTAAACAAACAAGAATTGCGCCGGAAAAAATACTAGAAGGGCTCAACAGACGTCACCCCCTGTTGAAGAAAAAGGGTATATCATGCATCATTGAGGAGCTCAAGCAACGTCTTCGTGCAAAAGCAGCTAAGATAAAGAGATTTAATAAAAGATGCGAACGATACCACCAGAACAAGTTGTTTGGAAACAACCAGAGGCAGTTCTACAGAAACCTTCAAACAAACCCTGAAGAACAGGATATCTCCCACCCTGAGGCTGACAAGGATTCTTGTTTGAAGTTCTGGAAGAACATATGGGAGCAGCCGGTTGAACATAACAGTGATGCTGAATGGTTACCGGATGTCAGAACAGCACTAGCCTCAGCAGATGAACAGCGACAGTTTCTTATAACTAACACCCTGGTTGCAGATAGAGTGAAGAAAATGACCAATTGGTCCTCTCCTGGTACAGACGGACTGCATGCTTATTGGATAAAGCACTTTAAAGAACTCCACAATAGGATTGCAGATCAACTTATGAATTGCCTAACCAACGCTGATATCCCTGACTGGATGACATTGGGACGCACGTACCTGCTCATAAAGGACCACTCCAAAGGACCCATCCCAGGCAATTTCAGACCTATTACATGCTTATCAGCTATGTGGAAACTGTTCACTGGTCTAATCTCAGATTCCATATACAACCATTTAGACCAGCAAAAACTCCTCCCCCCTGAGCAGAAAGGGTGCAAGAAGAAGAGCAGAGGATGTAAAGAACAGTTAATGATAGACAAACTCATCCTGAAGAACTGTAAACGAAGGAAGCGGAACCTGAACATGACGTTTATAGACTACAAGAAGGCGTATGATAGCGTCCCACACTCTTGGATTCTGTCTTGTTTGACCATGTGTGGTATCTCTTCATCCATCATAGATCTGTTTGAAGCCTCCTTCAAACAATCGTATGTTAACCTGATGCTTGGTAAAGTTTCCCTTGGGAGAATTAAAATTAATAGAGGTCTATTCCAAGGAGACTCAGTATCACCTATTCACTTTATCATGAGTCTTATACCCCTGTCCATTCTTTTGAATAAGCATGACATAGGATACTCTCTGGAGAAGGGAGGTCGACCGAAAGTGTCACATAGGCTATACATGGACGACCTCAAGTTGTATGCCGAGAGTGAAGATGAAATGCAAACACTGGTTAATACCACAGCAGAGTTCAGCAGTGACATAAAAATGGAATTCGGGCTAGAGAAATGTGCCGTGGTGAAGGTGAAGAAGGGAGCAAGAGCCGTTTTTGAAGGCATCTCCCTACCCACAGGTGAACAGATCCATGAGTTGGAGGACGAGGGCTATAAGTATCTGGGAATACTAGAAGCCAATGATATACTGCACAAAGAGATGAAAGCACTGGTTACAAAAGAGTATATCAGAAGAGTTAGAAAGGTTTTAAAATCACAGCTTCATGGCAGGAATAGTATACAAGCAATTAACACCTGGGCTGTACCTGTGATAAGATATGGAGCTGGAATTCTCTCATGGAATGCTGGAGAGACCAAAGCCTTAGATGTCAAGACCCGGAAACTGATGAGAATAAATGGAGCTCACCATCCCCAAGGAGATGTTGACCGGTTATACGTTAGCCGTCAACTGGGTGGCCGTGGGCTACATAGTATAGAGGAAGTCGTAAAGAGAGAGGAGAATGCACTCACCACTTATGTGGTGAGAAGTAGAGACCCAGAACTAATTGCTCTGAAGGACTACTTTGTCAAAGACAAGATACTCTTGGGTGAAGAGATAGAGAAAGATATCGACCGAACACAACGCGAGGAAATCCGCAAGGAGAAGTGGACTGCTAAAGTGATGCACGGACAGTTCCCAAGGCAGATGATGGGTATAGCGGACCCGTTAACCTCTTGGAACTGGCTCACTCAACAAGACTTGAAGAAGGAGACAGAAGGATTGTTGATAGCAGCCCAAGACCAAGCACTTAGGACTAATTATGTGAAGCACAGGATTGACAAAACACCTGGCTCTTCTCCCCTCTGCAGACTCTGCAGAAATCATTACGAGACAATAGACCACATACTGAATGGGTGCCCAAAACTTTCACAGACAGAATATAAGTGTCGGCATGACAAAGTAGCTGCCGCATTGCACTGGAGTCTGTGCAAGGAATACGGCTTCCCACGCAGTAAAAGGTGGTACGAACACCGGGCAGAGAAGGTGCTGGAAAACGAAAAAGTCAAGATATTGTGGGACTTCCATGTCCAGTCGGACCACGTTATCGAACACTGCAGACCGGATCTCCTCCTGGTAGACAAGGTAACCAACGCAGCAACCATCATTGACGTTGCAGTCCCAGGAGATACCCGGATCCTGGATAGAGAACAAGAAAAGATACTGAAATATCAAGACCTAAAAAGAGAAATTAAGAAGAACTGGAATTTACGAAAGGTCACAATCGTCCCTGTGGTGATAGGCGCATTAGGAACTATCACCATTAACTTTCGTAAACACCTCGACGCAGTCCACTGCAATCTGAGCATATCTAATCTCCAGAAGACAGCTCTGCTTGGATCAGCCAGAATTCTCAGGATGGTCTTAGACATATGATATTATTGAGAGTATAATACACTGTAGATACTCTATATTTAGTTTATTCTTCACTGGATACTGTAATAAACACTCTTTACCTGGTCCTCTTATATCTCTTCCCTTGCTATGCAAGCCCTGTCTCTTGTTTATACAATTTTTAACCCGTATATTGGGTAGACTGTGTATTTGTTATGTATTTTATATTAAATACAGTTTTGTGTACAAGTAATTATTGTTATTTACTGGACTAAGGGGTACACCCCTGCAGATTTCGTCGATTTCAGGTGCCGTCGGCACCATAAAAATTAAAAGCAAACATAAATTTTTTCCCCTAAAATCGAACGCTTTCTGCGCAAAAAATTGACCTCAACAGAAAAAATTAAACATGGCTTCAAATCCAAATTTGAACCAGAGATTTTTCACTTCCTCTCGATAAACTTAATTTTCAACCGAAAATAAAGTCTCAAAGGGGTAAATTACTCAGGTCAGGATTGTAGGCAATGATTATGCCAAACCATACATTTTTGTAAATTCATTAAACTTTCAATTTAGCCTAAAACACCCTATTTCGCAAAATTTTTCGGGGGGCTGCGCCCCCCTAGCCCCCGACAATGTGGTCCGCCCCTTACCTGGACCCCGCTGGAGGCCGCGCCCCCAGACCCCTGCCACAGCTTGCAGCTCCTGGCTACGTGCCTGAGCAAAATATAGGTTAAGGGCTTTTCAGATGATTTGGCTCCTCAACAGATACCGACGTACATAACGGTCAATATGTAGTTTAGGTTTACCTGGCCCGTAGGTTACGAATGTGCCCGAGGAGGAAAAAAAAGCAAACTTAAGAAAATTTCTCGGGAACTTAAAAGTTCACCTCAAAACGAAATCTGCACCTATGCCCTGATTCTTGTATAAACATGATGTTTGTTTAAATATTGTATATTTTTGTATTGATTGTGGTATTTTGTGGGTCAGATTCAGCAATACCCAATGGGTACTTGCTGAATCACTGTTTTATACACTCTGTAGCCAGTCCCGGTGTTCCGTCCCTTGCCCTGCAAGCCCTGTTTCTTGATTATACAGCATTTATTTATCGTGTATTACATTGTAGTATGTAATAAACATTTGTAGTAGTGTAGGATTGTTTGAATTTCTTTTTGCTAGGTTTTATAATTTTTATTTGTATAATTTGTGATTGTTTCTCCCGGTTTTCTTCCCTTGCGTAGCAAGCCCTGTCTCTTGTAAAAACAACCTCGAAAGATTTGTAGATACACAGAGTCTCTACACCTTTACCCTCTGGTCCCTAGGGTCAGCTGATCCCGGGCCAGAGGAAAACTACCGACTGCCAAGGTTTGACGCCTAGGCAGTCGAGACCTCTTATTGAGACCCTTTATAATAATAATTTAAACTTATAGATTATAGTGGCACAACAACTTAAAATGCAAGGTGTGCCACGAAAACAAGTCAGGATACAAGAAAACCTGAAAAGCAATCCACATTCAGGTTCCAAACCATAGAAAATTGTAAAGACTTGATACACTAAATTACAAAGTTAAGGGTATGCACTTAACAGTAGAAACATTGAAAAAGTAATAAATTAATTAATATCATAAGCAGTTTTAAAAAGAAAGGTTTTCAGATACACTTTAAAAGATTCCAGTGACATGCAATTCTTAATTTCAAGAGGCAGCTCATTCCATAATTTAGGGCCAACTTTCTGAAACGATCTTTCTCCATACTGTGTATTATATACTCTAAGTTCAGTCAAATGGATAAGATGATTATAATTGGCATATTTAAACATATTACTTAAATAATCTGGTCCCATACCATTAAGACATTTATAGACAAGAAGCAATAACTTATATTGAATTCTGTAACTAATAGGCAGCCAATGAAGGTCTTTCAAACACTATCATAAGCCTTTTCAAAATCTATTAAGAGACAGAAGACCGTGTATTTTTTCTGAATATGACTACATCGCATCATTATCCAGTCTGTTTAGATAGCCAGCAGTGTTGTGCTTTTTAGTGAACATTTCTTGATACTCATCTCTTAGGCCCTTCTTCTTGAAGTGTTCTTCTAATCTGCTAAGTGCAATTATTTGAATGACAATACAATAATACATTCACAGGCTTTTATAAAACTGACACAAATATTTATCGATAAATTGCTGTGTAAAATTTGAATTTATTTATTAAATTTACTTGCTTATTTAATTCTAGAAAATTATCTTTCAGGTGAATGTTTTCTACACGGATACCCGCAAAAGCTGGTTGTTTACTACTTATCGGATTTCTTGGAATCTGTGTAATTTTACTGACAAAAACGTTCAGTTATCAAGGATTCTCTGTTGATTATAAGAAAAATGTGTTTACAAAAGATGGAAAGACGTTTGACTTTGTGTCAGGGAGCCTGCACTACTTTCGTGTACCACATCAATTATGGCATGACAGACTTCTTAAATTGAGAGCAAGTGGCATCAATGTTGTAAGTACATACATACCATGGAATTTTCACGAACCTCATCCTAGTCAGTACAATTTTGTAGGTGATGCAGATTTATTCAAATTCATTGAGATAGCGCAAAGCTTAGGTTTGTTTGTCAACATTCGCCCAGGACCATACATATGTTCTGAATGGGACCTAGGAGGAATCCCTTACTTTGTTCTTGGCAGCAAGAAGGATGGTGTACAGATGCGGACTATGGATTCTAGATATCTCAGCCATGTGGAATGCTATTTTAATGAACTCCTGCCAAGGCTCAAGCCCTATTTGTATGAAAACGGTGGGCCAATCATCCTTGTCCAAGTTGAAAATGAGTATGGAAGTTACAAAGCTTGTGATTTTGACTACATGACCTATATCACCAAGTTGATGAGGAAACACCTAGGTGAAACTGCTATACTTTATACTGCTGATGGATGGGACATGCACCATCTTATATGTGGCCCAATTCATCATAGTGATGTCCTGACAACAATAAACTTTGGGCCTAACTCTGATCACGAGTCAGCCTTTCATAGAATGAGAAGTTTTCAAGGCAATGGACCACTGGTAAACAGCGAATTCTACCCTGGGTGGCTTGACCATTGGGGTGAACCTCATCAATGTAAATCTTCTAACTTGGTTAGGACTGAATTCACCAAAATGCTAAAAAGTGCAATGGGAAACGTCTTTGTTAATTTTTACATGTTTTTTGGGGGAACAAACTTTGCCTTTTACAATGGAGCAAACATGGCCTTTGAGCCAAAATATCAACCTGATCCTACTAGTTACGACTATGATGCACCCATGACTGAAAGTGGAGATACAACTCAAAAATATTATGCCATCAGGAATGCTATAAAGGAAAGTCGACCCCATCTTATCGATGAACATCTCTTATCAAAGGTTGTCAATAGTACCAAACAGGGATATGGGAGAGTAAAATTCCACGAAATCTTAAAATATCCTGGTATAAAATCTTTAGCAACAAAGCAACTAAACAATGTGCCATTGTTTACTTTTGAAGAATTGCAGCAGGATTACGGATTTGTATTGTATGAAAAGACCTACAGCAACTTCTATCATAATGCAGAGTTAGAAATTCCAGAACCAAGGGACATGGTGTATGTTTTTGCGGATGACAAATATATCGGAAAAATTTACAGGTTTGTGATTTAATTTTATTAATACAGGGTGGCCCATAAGTGACTACCCACACGCAACCTCTTAATAACTCACGTAATTCGTCTCCAAATTGCACCAAAATATCAGAGATTATAGATATGGGTCAAACTTAGATTTCCTGAAAGTTTCGTAAGCCACGCCCAATTACAGTGGGCGTGGCGTGACACTCCCTCTTTTTCACTATTGTCTTCATAAAATGAGAACGCTTTAAGCTAAGAACTCAAAATTTTTTGCACACATTTGGCTTGATAATTGATAACTTTTCCAAAAGTTTCAAGTTCATTGGTTAAAATATGGCTGAGTTATGACCATTTTAAAATCCATCGGATATGTGATCCGAGCACTCAGTCAGTGATATTTGCACTCAATTAGTGATCTCGTCACCCAATCTGATCAAGAGTAAGGCGTTAGCGTGTATTAATGAGGTTCATTAGGCTTTGATTGGATACCGATGATGACTTTGCTAGAAAGGGAAACACAAATTTTTAGGATAAAAACCAGATCGTGACTTTTCAGGAAAAGCCGTTCTCTCCACCACTTCATCCGGTCTAGTAGAGCCCCAGTGAATTGCATTCTAGGAGTTGACATATCCGTTTATATGGCCTTGTCGCTGTACCAGATTTCGTCCTCAAAGTAGGGATCCACATTCTGCTTGGACAGGAATGTGTTGGCGAAATCTATCCTCGATTGGAAATCACGGTCCAAAAGTTTGTGTTTCTTTGTGATTCGGTAGGCCCGGTTCGATGATTCAATGGATGGTTCATTCCTTTTTATTGATTGTAAGGAACCTGTGACTAGCAGGGCTAACAAGCCCTGAAATGGTGACACCACCATAAATTCGTGTGGTAGCGTTTTAGGTGCAGTCAGCTGTATAGGCCGGCCCATAAGCAGGCTGCAACCAATCAAGCGGTGCATGTGAGCCAAACAGGCCATTAACCAAGTGACGAGATCACTGACTGAGTGCTCGGATCACGTATCCGATGAGTTTTGAAATGGTCATAACTTAGCCATATTTTAACCAATGAACTTGAAACTTTGGGAAAGGTTTTCAATTATCAAGCCAAATGTGTGCAAAAAATTTTGAGTTCTTAGCTTAAAGCGTTCTCATTTTATGAAGACAATAGTGAAAAAGAGGGAGTGTCACGCCACGCCCACTGTAATTGGGCGTGGCTTACGAAACTTTCAGGAAATCTAAGTTTGACCCATATCTATAATCTCTGAAATTTTGGTGCAATTTGGAGACGAATTACGTGAGTTATTAAGAGGTTGCGTGTGGGTAGTCACTTATGGGCCACCCTGTATAAATATGTTTACTTGATTTCTGACAAGTAACCACTGTTTTTGTTTTATGAAATTTAATTCAGCGTTTTTGAATGTTCTTATGCAGAAGTTTCTATCCCATGCTTCACTTCTGATAGAGAATGCTTTAAAAAATGTAATCAGAAATCTAATTTAAGTCTGAAATATGAATTAAGTCAAATTTCAGGAGTGAAAACAAAAATTTAACTTTGCCATCATTTACAAAACTCGGCTTGTTGGTTGAAAACATGGGACGTATAAATTATGGTCCCTTTCTCCATGATTACAAAGGTATTGTTGGCGCAATTAAACTGGGACAAGACGATGTTTCGAAAGGTGCTGATTGGAACATTTGGAGCTTACCATTGAACAACACCGAACTCGCTCAATTTGAAACAATAAAAATACAGCCAGGTAATTTGCATCAATTATTTAGTTTTTAAATTACTTCGTTCTTTCAAGAACACTAATGTTGGGGATGTTAAGTAGAATATATGATAAACAGGACAGATTCTATTGACGTAAGTAATAAGTAAAGCTACCATTGACACTACTATACCTTATAGTAACGAAATATTCCTTATCATAACAAATATTTGCAGGACCTGGCAGCATACTGCGTGGAGAGTTCACAATACATGGAAAACCAGCTGACACATGGGTAAAAATGTCTAAATTTGGTAAAGGAGTCATATTCATCAATGGCAGGAATCTCGGCAGGTATTGGCCGATTAAGGGACCTCAGAAAAATCTTTACGTTCCGTCTGTCTTCCTGAACACCGGAATCAATGAAATGGTTTTACTTGAACTTGTACAGATGCCATCAGAGAAGGACCTGTACGTTGAGTTGGTCGGGTATCCTGATGTTGGGTCTTGTAATTAATTTTGAAATGTTTTTTACCGGACTTAGCTCATCTTTATTTTATATTATTTTGAACTACTGTGCTAGATAATGATATGGATGAGTTGCCAAGATAATATTAGGCTTGTTTAATGCAGCCACATTGTATAATATCGGATTTATTGACCTTTAAAGGCAATACATATTATCATGAATAATTCCCTGTGTTAGAAAATCTAATAGAAATGGCTTATGAGTTGTGAATGTGGTCGATTAAAATTGATCGATCTATGAAAGCTTGGCTGATTGAAAGTCAAATCCTCTGACTCTAGTCTCTCATCTCAGCATGTCTAGAAAACTAATTATTATAAACCCGCGATATGGACTCCGCTCTCTTGTTAATTGAGGACGCCATATCATTTTAAACCACAAATTCTAGGGAATAAGACACATTAATTCAGAATGGTGAATTATACGTAATGCATGCCTTTCAAGTTTCAAGCATGTTTGAATTCTTATTCAAGATCAGAAGCTTTTAGAATTCTTCAGTTAATTTATTTTCAGTTTTTATAATTAAGTTCGACACTGTTCAAAAAAAACCTTACATCTAGTTAAACTTACATTGTTATCCATCTAGTTAAATGAGGTTAAGTCTTTATGTCAATATCCAATATTAACAGATTTTTATTTCACATTCATGTCCGATTGAAATGGACAGATGGACGTTGGCCTCTGGCCCATCCAGTTCTAAAATTTGTGACCGTTATCTTTTTTATATCAAGACAGTGTGGAATTTCAGTTTTCAAACATAATTTTACGAATTGAGTTGATTGTATATTAAGATAAATCCACTACATGCTGCTTATTTTTAGAGGAGTTACTGTTGTATTTTTGGTTCAGTTAATACTTTTCCATTTCATTAAGGCATCCAGTTGGATTGTATTTTTGTTTTGGTTCTAGAATGATTACGGCTTGGTTCCAGCGAATCTCCTTCAAAATGCTTGTAAGTTGTACTTTATCTCGAGTGTGATGATTTAAATATTACTCGTACGCTAACATTACTGTTATAGGATGGCTGAAGACAGTGAAGGTCTTCAACCTGACGCGTTAAATGCCATCAGAGATGATGTGCTAGGCAAATGGGGTGACTTGCAGGTAATACATCATTTCTAATAGTTTCATCAAATTATATTATATATATCCTCAAAACAGCACTTACTCTACTCTTTTTAAATATTTCATTCGCCACACTGCACCTGTTTTGTTGACCTAATCGTCAACAAAACAGTTCTAACCCCGTTCTATCCTAGGATGCAGTATCTGGAAAACAGTTCTAACCCCGTTCTATCCTAGGATGCAGTATCTGGCAACAGTTCTAACCCCGTTCTATCCTAGGATGCAGTATCTGGTAAACAGTTCTAACCCCGTTCTATCCTAGGATGCAGTATCTGGCAACAGTTCTAACCCCGTTCTATCCTAGGATGCAGTATCTGGAAAACAGTTCTAACCCCGTTCTATCCTAGGATGCAGTATCTGGCAAACAGTTCCAACCCCGTTCTATCCTAGGATGCAGTATCTGGCAATAGTTCTAACCCCGTTCTATCCTAGGATGCAGTATCTGGTAAACAGTTCTAACCCCGTTCTATCCTAGGATGCAGTATCTGGTAAACAGTTCTAACCCGTTCTATCCTAGGATGCAGTATCTGGAAAACAGTTCTAACCCCGTTCTATCCTAGGATGCAGTATCTGGTAAACAGTTCTAACCCCGTTCTATCCTAGGATGCAGTATCTGGTAAACAGTTCTAACCCCGTTCTATCCTAGGATGCAGTATCTGGTAAACAGTTCTAACCCCGTTCTATCCTAGGATGCAGTATCTGGCAAGAAGAAGGATCTTCTGGGACAGCTGCATTTCCACAAGCTTGTAAAGGATATCAACGAGATAGTGATATGGATAACTGAGATGCTTCAGATAGCAAACGATGAGTGCTATAAAGATACCAGCAATTTGAAGGGGAAGAAGAAACAGCATAACACTCTTATTGACCAAATAGACATGAAGAAGGTAATTTTATACTATAATTTATTTTAAACTATACCAGCTACATGTTTTGAAGACAGTAACACAACTATTTTAGAAGAGACAATATTATTTCTTTGTACATATCCACGCTTAAATAAAGAATTTTGTCGCATAAAATACACCTGGTTAAGATAACTGAACAAATAACCAAATGCCAGGATATCGTAAAGAAGCTTTTGAACGAAGATACTGAAGAAGGGGTAAAATATTCGTGTGCCTATTTCGTAACCATCATTAAAATTCCTCATCTTGATTTATGTTCGGCAGCTTAAGCTGGTTGTGCTATCAATCATTAAATCCAAAAGCTTTACATGTGTCATTAAATTGGTGTTTTTGGGATATTTCGCTGATTACGCATAGAATTCCGAAATCGATTTTGGTATCAAAGCGACTATTGATTTAAATAAAATCCTAACTATCAAGCCAAATTCCTTCTTCTCCCATAGTAATACATAAAAACACCTCCCTCATCATAACCCGACACCAATATTAATATTGACCCCACTAAACCCCACCTTTTAACCCCACTTGACTCCACTTTCTCCCCAGGGTACAGTAAACACGTGTTGTAACACTGGAGATGAGTATGTGAGCGACCAGAACAAGAACTTTGAGGTTATCGAGGGAAAGGTAGACGAGCTCAAGAAACTGTGGGACGAGCTGAATAGTGCCATGGAGAAAAGGGGCCGTCTTATTGAGGTAGGTTAACCGTTAAGGGAGATTTTCTCCTAAATTTACTTTAATTTAACTGAAATTTTGATCCTGTGAGGGGTGCAGGTGGTGAGTTATTGTTGTTCATATTAATTATCATATTATTGATTATCAATATTGTTTTTGTTCAAATATTCCCTATTAGGGATAGAATTCTCTTTAAAATAATACTGTGATCCACTGTTCCATCCAATAAACCCGTGTTATGCAGGAAGCTCTGAAGTATGTGACATTCATGAGGGACGTGAAGGAGATCGGAAGATGGGTGGATGAGAACGAGAAGTATTGTGAAGCTACCGAACTGGGGGATGATCTGGAGCAAAACGAGGCGCTGTGTGAAGAGTTTGAGACTTTCATGGTGTCTCTCACCGATACTGGTAACGTCCTTTTAATAAGCGTTTCTTTATTTCTTATGCTTGAGAACATTTTAGATTCTGCAGAGCTGTTTTCTTACTTTCTTTAAATTTGAATTCAGCACAACGTAATTAAATGCAGATTGTGACCGTGTGTAATATAACAAATAAATAGCAGTATTAAGTTCCCATTAACATCGTTAACTATTTTATTTAACAAACTTTTTACAGGGAGAAGATTACAGTTTATTAATGAGTATAGTGTGCAGCTGGTTGAATCCAACCACTCTGATATACAGGATATAAAACTACAAACTGATACTATCAATGAGAGGTACTAAGATCTTACTTCTAAATTTATTATTAGATCTCCTCGGGTTTTGAATAAATCCCCTCTGAACTATTTAAACTACTTTTATTGATTTCAAAGATTTTTGAACCTAACAAGAAATGCGGCCGCTTTTCTTTTGTGGATGGCCGCTCAATTTCCCGATCCGTGATGGCGTATTTATCATATTCCATACAACCTGGGGACGGCCCAGTCTTTACTGTTTATATAAACATGCAAATATGGCGAAGTGACATGCCGACTGCCGAGCGCCGCCCAGTTAATATAATTCTATATTGAATTTGAAAATCGTGTAACTTTCTATGTAACCATATTTTTATTGTTTATGCAACCTGACACGGATCTGTGCAAGATAGTACTTGAACTTCTAACTCAAAATAATAATAATATGCTATCAATTAGTGCCTAGTGGGATACGTATATATATGATGAAATTAATAATGTACTTGGTTGGTTCAGCGCTGCGCGCCAACAATTATATAATTCAGATTATCACGCATTTAAATAACTTTGCGCAGGTAGGAACGTGGGCGGGCACGTACGCACGCACGCACGCTCGCTCGCTACCATATACTAAAAAAACCTCGTTCGCTAACCCTTGTCCTTGACTCTTTTGTGCCTTCGGCACTTTGAGTCATGGATCGGGAAAAAATGGGCAAATTATTTGTTTCATTCTTACAAATTATGATCGATACAGGTTTGAGAGACTCCGTACGATGTGTACAGAAAGAGAAATCAGCCTACAAGTAGCTCAAAAGATGCACAAATACAACTTTAATGTCAACGAGTCTATCAGGTATTCAAAATAAATTTAACTACCCTTTATGAAAGTCCAATAATGATGTCATGTCAAATCTCTTTAACGCGAGCACTGTCTTTTATATTAGCACTTTTATATTAGCACGAATGCTTATTGCACGAATGTATTGATAGATATTTGGGCGAGCTTTGCTACTTTTATAAAAATGAAGGTAGTTCAACTAGAAGTGCACGGCTATTATTCCAGATGGATCCAAGCAAAAGAAGTGCTGCTAACAAGCGAGGAGTACGGAGAAGACATGACGACAGTAAACACCCTGCTCAACACTCATCTGGATATAGTCCGGGAACTGGAGACCTTGTCGGAGAAGGTGGACAAGTTGGAGCAAGACGCAGAGACTCTTAGTCAGACTCATCCTGAGAGGGCGGATGAGGTGAGGATCCGGGAAGTAGGGCGTGTCAGAGAATATTTTGGAGATATTTTAACGATGCTTCAGTTGTGAGATCGCTAACTTTTATTGGTTCTCATTGTTAAAATTCAATGTTTAATATGATCCATGAACACGTTAACCTACAGTTCATCACCGGTATACCCACAGGTAAACTGCAAGTACGGCGAACTTAAAGAGTTATGGGAGAAGATAAAAGAAAGCAGTGGGCTCCGGACACAAAAGCTGGAAGAAAGTTTCAAATACCATAAATTCCTAGTCCACTACCGGGATCTGGGGATGGAGATGGACAGACTGAACACACTGTTCGATCAGAAGAAGGAGCCGCGAGATGTGGCCGAGTCTGTGGTTTTTCTTGATGAACATGACCAATACATGGTGAGCTCTTAATTTTGGGAATTGAGAAAACCTTCTGGCTTTACCTCCACCCTTCAGTTTTAATAACAAAAACAATCTTATTGGCATTTATTGTCAATTAATCTTCGAAACAATATCTTGAAAACTAGTAATTTTGCCCTGTCCTAAAGATGTGCACTTATACTTACTATTCGCTGACATGTAATGGAAGTGAAAGGGACTGGTTATTGTAATGAGTTAACTGATATTGCAATTTGCAGCTAACCTGTAGCTACAGTAAACTGACCTAGCCTTCATTGTAACAGGTCCAGATGCAGTGTTGGCACGAGAGTTTCTCTAATCTACAAGAAAATGGAGCTGATATTGCTGGAGTTCATATCGAAGAGAGTCAAGTTAAAGAAAAGGTTTGCATTTTTTAAATTCTCGTCAAGAACTAACTAATCAAAATTAGAAATCTAATGCTAATGACGTCAATTATAATCAGGATAGCTTGTCAGCTGAAAATATGTTTATTTCAAACTACTGATACTTAGGACTTATAGGGCCCTAGGGGTCTAGGGGTCTATGAATTATTTGGAATTTGTCGAATATTTAATGGTTTTAAACACTGAACTACCCAGGTTGAGGAGTTGGAAGGACTATGGGTTGTGGTTAACAAGACCTGGACTAACCTTCACAGCCAACTAATCGCTCATAAGCAGTACCAGAGCTGGTCTAGGGACTACGAGGTCAGCTCTTATCTTATATTTTAGTTAGCTGATGTCAAGATTTTAACAAAATTATTATTGTGTCATTTGGTTTTTCTTTTCTGAGCACAAACGCCGGAGCTTAGTCTTTGTTGCCCTCTTATTATTTTCATTGATATTTCTTTTTTGTCCTTATAACTAAATTTTATTTTATTTATTTTTAAAAATTGTATTTTATATTTGACAATAGAAAACGTTGAGCAGGTGGTGACAGCATGGCTGAGTTCCAAGGAGAACATAGTGAGTGAAAGTTACATCGGGCACTCTCTAGACGAGGTAGAGAGTCAGCTGAAGAAGTTGGAGGACTTTAATCAGTCCCTAAAGGCCCAGGAAACTAAGATAGGTCAGTTAGTGTTGTGGTTATTAATTATTATATTGTGATTATTGGTTAGTTGTTTAATAACGATCTAGTTTTTCTAAAGAATGGTTATTTTTAGAATTTGAACACAATTGGAAATAGAACAGCATAGAGTTTTAACAATTCAAAAATGTCATTTCTTTACAGTTTTTTTGAAGCGTTATTATATTATAAAAGTATAAAGTATTATACTTAATATTTTAAATTAAAAAAAGTCCAGTACAAAATGAGAGTGGACTATAAAATATGCTGGAGATCTATATATACATGCTTCTTAATTCGTAACAAGTTCACAAGTCTAATCTAATCTGATCAATTCTAAATTGTTCACTGTTCATTATCGATTGGTAGGTCTAAGCAGAATAAATTCACAGTTCCTGCTCTCTTCAAGTCTCAGGATTCAAATTACTGCTCTCTCGCTATTCCTTCATTTCCTAATTCCTTCAGCTGTATTAATGATTCATGTACAGATCATCATCCTGGATGACTGAATCACGTGGAGGTAAAGCAGGTCTAGCACTACAGGGACAATCAGGACACATGCACTTTCTACCACTCAGCTGTACGGTGCCACCACAAGGTTCAGGAGAGTAACTCAGCTTCAAGTTGGAGACGTTCCTTGATTTTATCTTGAACCAAATAACTAGTGATAGTATCAGTACTATAACCAAGAGTGTGAGTATCAGGCTCGTTACTGACAGAATATCTATGCTGCTTGACTTTTGACACATTGTTTTGTCCTTGGATGGTGACGTTTCTTCTGGACATCTAACGCAATCTGCCCCGTTTCCAATGTGAAAATCTGGGCATTGGATACAAGCATAACCTTCCCAAGAATGTCCACTTGGGCAGGAATGACACTTTGTAGATTTTGATGACGAAACTGTGAAGAGTGGGCACATCGTGCAGGAGTCAGAGTAGTCTTTGCTGTAGTGGTTTTCAGGACATTCTTCACACGTGTTCGAATAGGCATTCCAAAAGGTACCTGCTCGACATCCACAAACACCAACTTCAGACTTTTCTTTGTCACAATCTACACAATGCTCGCCATCCCAAGATAATCCTAGTGCACAGAGGCATCCTTCGGAGAGATAAAAGGAGGTTGCATCTGGTGGACATTGTGTACAAATACCTTTAAGTTTGTGTTTATAGAAGTTGGCTGGACAGGGACTGCAAGTCCCTTTTGTGTCAGAGGTCCAAAACCAGCCATGACCTTTTTGGCAGCTGCACCCTTTTCCATGATCAAGTGGAAAGGAGTCTCCTTGGCAAGGAACACATCTATCGGAATCCATACCTCCTTCTCTGCTTACAGTTCCCTTCTCACATTTCTCACATTTATCAAGTCCTGCAGTCATATACGTACCTCCAATACAGGTGCAGTGAAATGACCCCACCGAGGAAGAAGAATTTACTGGGCAGGGGAGGCACACCATGTTAACGTTTGGAGCTGGACTGTAAGTCGAAGATGGGCATTTTTCACACATGTTATCCTGTCGAACTTTATATCCAGCTGGACACTCAGAAATCATTGGCGAAGAACACGACAGCCATACATCTTCGCTATGGTTATCCTCCGATGTAACCATGTCAAACGAGCATGAAGGCAATATATCTGTATACGTACTGGTTGAACACACCAAGTTATCAACCTTTATGGGAAGGTTATTTTGAAAATTAGCTTCGAGACCATGACTCCAGTTAACTAATGTTCCATACCCCATTAATAGGCATATCCAGTTTGCGGTGAAGTCATTAAATCCGTCATCGCAAACTGTTCCTCCTTGGTACATCAGTAGTCCGTGTCCACTTTGTGTAAACGTCTCGGTGAACTTATCAAGAAGGTAGAAAGAGTTTAGGTCTCCTCTTTGTATTCTTCTTTTGCAGCTCAACCAGACATCTTGATAATGACTACAATCGTGGTATGTAAGATAACTACACAGTGGTACCACTCTACCGGAACACTGTACTTCGTCCAGTTTTATCGGGCAGTTCTTCTGCCAGGTGTATTTCTCTCCATGATTCCAATGGGCAAAACGTGACTTGTATCCCATCATGCGACAAATCCACATCGCTGTCACAACATTGAAGGCACCGTTACAAACAGTACCCCCATTGAACATGAGAACACCGTTTCCACTCGTAGTGACTTGTTGGTTAGCATCCAGCAGATAGAAACGGCCAGCCCAAACTCCTGTAAGATGATTTATTTAGTGCAGTGATATAATATGGTGATAGCATTATTACTGATAACGATGCCTATGTCCCGGGAGAATCAGTAGAGGTTTTCAAATGAACGTAGGTGTAAGTAATTTCAATTCTAACGTTATTATAATAAAAACCCACGTTACCTTGCAAAGAGAGCATTACGAAGACTGCAAACAAAATCATCGCTTCAAAATTGAACTCACAAAATATGTTTTATGAATCACCGACTCGGTGCGATTGCTCCACTCAAAACTCGAAAATTCAATTTTCGAGTTTAGCCAGAATATTCGATCATGATTTCGGAGAGTCTTATTTAATTTTATGCCATCCGCGACACATATAAATAAGATTTAGAAATTAGAGTAGTTAATACAATCATAGCATTTTATCGGAGAGTAAGCATACAACTCCATACATAAATAGCTAATAATATGGACAAAAGGCTTATTTAAACCCAAAAAAATCTATAAATCCGATGGGGTCAATTTTACAGCTCAATTTTTCCAAAATATCTACACAGCTTAGCAGGAGTATCATATTTCATGACCTCAGATTGCGATTTGTTTGTAGCAATTCCACGATCTTAAGAGGGGGGTTCACCCTGATTTTTTTGTAAAACTTGGTTTCGAGACCAACAAACTAGGACCAGTGACCAAATTTTTGAGGGGGTCCCGGACCCCAACCGCCAAACGGTGCCCGCGGGGCAGCCACGCCCATATTTGGTCGAAATCAGGCCCAATTTAGCCAAATACCCTGAACATGACCAAAACCCAGATTTTAGGTGCTTTACTTGTAGCTAGTGGTCCCCTGAACTCGTATATGAACTTTCATCAAGATTGGACAAAAAATGACTGAGTTATGAGCTAAAAACTATATGCCCATATTTGGGCATACGCACTAAATTTGATCGATTTTGGCCCATAAATTGGTCAAATATCAATATTTTTGAATGAAACTAACTTTATATGAAAGGTCAGCCTAAACTACACATTCTCTATGATTATCAGCTCAATATCTACCTAACTGTGGATTCTGTGTTCAAATAATCACAAGAAATGAACAAAATCGCCCATATCTCAGTTCGCGATATTTGCAAAACTGACTTCGCTCAAAACAATAGAACTCAATAGGGTTTCAATATTTTTTCATGAAATTTTCAGAATCAACGTAGAATTGTCTCATGACCTTAAGTTTTGGGACAGAATTTTGAGTTAGGCCTTTAAAAAAATTTGGCGGCCAAATTCTAAATTTAGCAGTGCAAATTTTGGAATTTGGCCGCCAAATTTTTTTATCTACAGTCATTTGTTGTCCAATCTTGATTAAAATTCATATACGAGTTCAGGGGACCACTAGCTACAAGTAGAGCACCTAAAATCTGGGTTTTGGGCATGTTCAGGGTATTTGGCTAAATTGGGCCTGATTTGGACCAAATATGGGCGTGGCTGCCCCGCGGGCACCGTTTGGCGGTTGGGGTCCGGGACCCCCTCAAAAGTTCGGTCACCGGTCCTAGTTTGTTGGTCAACTGCTATCTCGAAACCAAGTTTCACAAAAAATTCAGGGTGAACCCCCCCTTAATATTATGAGGTTTGGAAAGTGGTACCCTAACCCGTTCAACTTTTTTTTACAAAAATTCAACTTTGAAATTTTAATCAATGGAAGGAAGCTACCTATTTGATGGCTGAAACCCAAACAAGACCAATGAAAACCAATTCCAATCTCACGACTTATCTCTTGCGATTGGCCCAGGAAACTAAGATAGGTCAGTTAGTGTTGTGGTAACTTACTTTGGTTACTTTGGTGTGCTTCATAGAGTCCTATATCGGCCATCGGGTCATCAGAGTTGCTGACCACCCGGACAGCGAGATCGCTGCCTTTATTCCACTCCAGTCTAGTAACGAGTTTTCATTTCGGCAGCTGTATCCTGCCACTAGAGGCTCATCCGGGAATGATTTCACAAACGTTGTAAGCATTTCTTTAAATTGCAGGGGATCTTCGATAGTATGCATGTTTGGTGGGATTAAGTTCCACAATCGAGGTCCTATTACTGCAACTGCAAACGAATTGTCGAATGTCGTAGAGCGCTTGGTTGCGCTGACTGCTAGATTTATTCAGAGTGGGAATAACTGCCTTTTGGCCATGTCGGAGTGTTGCGGAGAACTGGATGTTGACATCATTTGCGCACTTGCCGTGCAGCTCTTTCCACATGTCGATGATGGTATATCGTTTAGATACTGTATGCCATCTATTCTCGTTGTGGACGTACGCTGAACCCCTTCCAGTTGTTGGACGTCTCCACTCTTGGAAATATTCCATAAGGGGCAACAGAACTCGAGATGGCTTCTGATGAGTGATTTGTAAAGGGTCAGCATGGTGACTTTGTTCCTCGTTTTAAACAATTAAACGCACTCAGAACCCAAGCAGCAACTTTACGAGCACGTTCGGCTATAAGGGTAACGTGGGGACTCCAGGATAAGTCAGCTGAAACCATCACCCCTAAATCTTTTACCATTTTGGAAGGGTACTCATTTCCTCTCTGAGCTAGCTAGTGTATATCAGTTTCTTGTTGGTGTTTTGTCTGTGTTTGTTTGTCCATAGTAGGAATTTACTGTAACTTTGGAGACTGGGCGCAGTAATGTCCCAGAGGGTTTGTAACATCATGGATGCTGACTAAGCTTACCTGATCCTCTCCAACTTGTATTAGTACACTACTTCATTCACACCAGTCATTTCACTACATTAAACTGATTGAGGTTATGCCCTTTGTACATGCTGAAGCGATA